CTCTAAAAAGCAATGGGGAAAATATCCTCAGGTGAGAATTAACTAAAAAAAACAACACTTATTACAATAGAAAAATACCAAAAAAGAAAGAAGTAAACAATAAAAGCGAGGTGTGAAATCCTGATCCCGTCTTTGGGGGCTTCTGTCCATCTCTCTGGCAGGTCTCAGTGTGGATCGTCCCTGTGCCAGAGCCATAAAGGTTGACTGCCCGTACCCGCTGTCCCAGGTGACAGCCCGAAACAGCGTGGTGTGGGCGCTGACGGAGCAGAGAGCCCTCCTGTACCGGGAGGGGGTGAGCAGCTTCTGCCCTGAAGGGGAACAGTGGAAGTGCGACATCGTCAGGTACCCGCAGCATCCTGCGTCCCACCTCTGTCCTTTGCCAGCGGGCCTCCCCTGAGGCACCCAGAGGAGCCTTTCCTGGCAAAGCTGCTTCCCTGCAGGTTTCCATGGTAGCGGTGGTCTCCGCAGGTGTCACAGCCAGTTCGAGCAGCCCGACCTTGGAGGTGCTCTCTGCCCACCTTTTCTGGTGGCTGGACATTGGGCCCGAGCTCAGCTTTTTAGAATGCTGCCTCTCATGTAACCTTGAGCCTCACAGCCACACGTCTCTCCAAACAGTCTCTATTCAGAACTGCCCAGTGTTGGGTGGTTTGTGTTTAGAGTCTCGGATGGTTTAGAACCAAGTAGTTTTCTCTATTACCATCCTGGTCCACTGAACTTGGCCTCCGAATTTTAACCTATTTGGTTATATTATACCATTCAAAATTTTAATTACAGGATTACTGTCAAATCAGTTTGCTAATGTGAAATTATTTATAGTCCTTAGAAAAATCAGATTTGGATATTGGTTTGTATTTAGCAATCCAGGAAACTTGAGCAAGTATTCATTGTAGCCAGAACTGCTGGGCTGGGGATGCAAAGAGACTGGGCCACAGCCCTACCCTCATGGAGCTCCAGTGTGGGGGAGCCCTCTAAACTGACCGATCCAGTTAGTGCAGAGGGTCCTGAACCGGGGGCAAGTGCAGCACTGAGGGCGCAGGGCACTGTGCAGAGTGGACCCACAGCTGGCCTGGAGGCTGGTGAGGATGGCACCAGTGGGAGGAAGGGCACTGCCCAAAGAGAGAGTAGTGTCTGCCCAGCTGCAGCTGCCTGGCACAGCCTGGCACTGGTGAAGGAGGGAGCAGTAAGGTGGGGGCCCTCGGGGGCCTGAATTCCTTGTGCCAGCTCACTTTTTTCTCAGGTTATTTTCTCCCAAGAGCTTTCCCTGTCATCTTTCAAAAGCTATGACACATTTGAACAATTTATGTTGTAGTAATTTAACTAAAAACTCAAACTTCCTGCCCGGCCTCATGTGACTTAGCAGTTGAGCCTCGACCTAGGATCCAGGAGATCCCGGTTCGACTCCTGGTCAGGGCACATGCCCGGGTTGCGGGCTCGATCCCCAGTCGGGGGCGTGCAGGAGGCAGCCGATCAATGACTCTCTCATCATTGATGTTTCAACTCTCTCTCCCTCTCCCTTCCTCTCTCTGAAATCAATAAAGATATATTTTTTGAAAAACCAAAAAACTCAAGCTTCCTTCCTTGGACCTTGTGGGTGGGGTGTCTCTTCTCCCAGGCAGACCACCCCTCAGGACACACCCGCTGCCGGCAGTCCTAGACCTGCTGGGGCTTTGACCGGGTGCTGACTCCCATGTCCTCTCCCTATTTCAGTGAACGACAGGCTTTAGAACCCGTCTGTGTAACACTTGGGGACCAGCAGACCCTGTGGGCCCTGGACATTCGCGGAAACCTGTGGTTCAGGACCGGTGTCGTTCCCAAGAAGCCCCAAGGCGATGATGACCACTGGTGGCAAGTAGGTGTTCCTCTCCAGGGCTAAGTGCCGGGGGTCTCCCCAGGGCGGGGGTTCTGCTCCCCCTTTCTTAGCCCCTCTCTTTTTCTTAAAAAGATTGGGAGGTTGGATTAAATTAACAGTTCACTTTTACTGTCTGATGAGTTGGACTTGGCTGTATCCCAGCACATTAGAAGCATCAAGGACTCCCCATCTTAGGAAGTGACTCGTAAAGCTCTCTGCTTCAGTGCGCAGACTCTGTTTATTTAGGTGTTGTTTAGAAGTCTATTATATGTTAAACCCTTGAAGACCTGGCTAATAATGGTGTTTAATTCTGAACAAACATGCTACGAAGACAGACCAGACCATAGGTTTGGAGAACCCACAATTAAAATTCATCTGTCTCTGCTTGTTCAGAAGGCCTCTAAGTAAGTGGCCTTTCAACAAAGAAAGAATTCTCCCACATGCTCCCAGGAAAAAAAGGGCTTTAGAAGATAGGGGGGTTGTCATCAAGCCACCTCTTCGTGACTTGGTACCAGCCAGAGTGGCTGGAATATGTTTTCAAAGGAGCGTCTACTGTCCCTCTTTGGGACCTGTGTTCCCACGAAGGCAGGTGAGGCTGCACTGTCCCCAGCAGCTGTGAAACACGCAGTGTCTTTAGCGTTGTCTCCATTGGTTCAGGTTTCCTTGTTGCCTCAGACTTGCCTGGTTGCTCGTAGGTTCCCTGGTGAGAATGTGGAAAAGGCAGGTGTGTTTGCTCTTTGATGAATATGTGCATGGGTACCTATGTCTCTAATTTAATGTGCCAGGTGCCACTCAGTTATACAAATGACTTTAAAATGTCTTCTCTATACTGGTCACCATCTTACATGGTTTTATACACACACGCTCACCTGTATATGTGTACTAAATTCTGTTTTTAAGTGGCCTGAAGAAAACTAGGTAGCATTTTATCATAATGTTCAAAACATTAGAGAAGTTTAATCGACAGAGGCATCTTTGAAGTATTTGAAAGCAGTTGTTTTAATTACTATAATATTGACTCTTTGTAGCACAAGAGCAGCCAGCATTATGTTTGGCTGCTAAACCTTTATTTAAATTTGCATCTGCTTATCTGCAAATCTAGGGTGCTGGGACTGAGTCTGTCTCAGACTTTGGTATGGCCTTGGCCATATACCCACACCAGGTACGGGCCCAGCATTCTGGGGGCTCCGGTGTGAGAACCGGGGCTCTGCACGGGGCCTAGGGTTCGGATGTGCTGAAACCTCACTTCAGCTTCAGTCAGGGCAGCAGCTCACAGGCGCAGAGGGCAGTGTTTGCGAACAGCACTGATTGTTACAGGAAATCCCTTTTCATTTTTGTATTTTGTAAATTGAGGTTCCCATAACAAATGGTGTCCCTTTCACTCAGCACTTCCTTGTGTGAAACTGGGTATGTGCCCACACAAGGCGGTCCTGGGAAGAGGGCAGTGACGTCCCCTATGGTCAAGCCCAGCAGGGCAGCTGTACGTCTGAGTCAGAGGAGTAAGATTCTGACCTGCCTTTAGAAAGAGTGGGAGAAGTGTCCTCGGGGAGGTGCCCAGGAGAAGCGTCTTTCAGTAATCTTAGAGAAGGGCGTGACCCAGTATTTGAGCCAGGGTGACACTTACAGCCCAGGACGGCCCAATTAGGCAGCTGGCCTGGCATAGTTGTTAACAGTCCTGGTTTAGGTCATAAATTATTACTCATAGTACCTTTTGTTATCCATGGGAAATATCTAAACTTAAAAGCAAAATAACTTTTTCTCACTGATTAGAACAAAAGATTCAGGTGTGAGGAGGTAATGTTCAGTCATGTGCTTGTAATAGATCCACATAATACAAAAATGCATAAAAGAAAAGGTAAACATTTTCCACCTCTAAGTCCGACCCTCAGGGGTGGTGACAGCAGTCTGGTGTGTCCTGCTAGACTTTCCCAGCCCTCACGCTATTGTGCACATGCACGTGTGTTTGGGTGTTCAGTGGACATGGGCCAGAACCTACCTCTTAGGCAGGAAGCCCTGGAAGGCGCTGCACCCGCCCTGACAGCCGTGTCTGCGTGTCCCCTGCAGGTGAGCATCACAGACTACGTGGTGTTTGATCAGTGCAGCCTATTCCAGACCATCATGCACGCCACGCACTCGGTAGCTACAGCGGCCCAAGTGCCCGTGGAAAAGGTGGCAGATAAGCTACGCATGGCGTTTTGGTCTCAGCAGCTTCAGTGCCAGCCGAGCCTTCTGGGAGTCAACAACAGTGGCGTCTGGATCTCCTCGGGCAAGAATGAGCTCCACGTCGCCAAGGGCAGCCTCATCGGTGGGTGGATTCCTTAGGCTTCCTCGTTGGCTTGGTGGGCAGCTCCACGTCAGAGGAAGGTGCCAGCATTTAAAGCAGGGGTGGGGAACCTTTTTTCTGACAAGGACCATTTGGATATTTATATCATTTGTAGGCCATACAAAATATCAACTTAAAAATTAGCTATGGAAAAGGCCCCTAAATTTATTGAATTTCGAGTCCTTCCTGTGGTTACCTTAGGAAGGCCAGACCAATCGGATGTTCCACACCCCTGATTTAAAGGAAAGCTTGAAGCTCTCACCCTGAGAAGGCAACGTAGCACCAGTGGTGGGAGTGTTTGTGGTGGAGCACTCATGCTCCCTATCCCATGCTCGATGTCTGTTTCCTTTCTTCCTCTGTCATTGCTACTACTTGGATCCCAGTGTCTGGTGGTGTGAGATCAGTTTCCACTGGGAGCCTGTTATGATATAAAGCAAATGGAGCTGAGTTTTACATTAATTTTATATTTAAATGAAAAAATATGCCCAAACCTGAAGAGCCTAGGGAGAGAGAATAGTCCATTTCCTGGAGGGAAGTTGTCATGCTGTTGAAAATGCAAGGCTCTGGCCAGATCTGTAAATGTAGATGTAAGTCCACACGCACGGATTGGGCTGCCTTTCTGTAAACGAACCCCTGCTTTGTGAATTTTCTCCAGGGCCTCCCTACCCTGGGCAAGATGGTGGCCCTGCTTGTCGGTATCCACAGAGAAACCAGGGGCCGACTCTCGCAGTGCTGGCATGGACCTCCCAGTTCCAGGATAGGCTAGAACCATCCGTGAGCTTCTGAGGCCTATGGGCTAGAATAACGCTCTGGAGTGATTCTTTTTCTTTAACCCCCTTCCCTGTCTCCTTCCTAGGCACTTACTGGAACAGTGTTGTTCCCCGGGGGACAGCTTCTGCAACAAAATGGGCCTTTGTGTTGGCCTCCACTGCTCCCACAAAGGAAGGTTGGTGCAGAACGTGTGCACACTTGGCTGGGGCTCAGTTAAAAGCGTGGTCCGCCTGTGGCCTCGCTGAGATGGGGCGTGGCTGTGTGGACCTCAGACAAGGTGGGGTGGGGTGCAGATGAGTAGCTCTTGTGAGCCGGGGGCCCCTGAAGCTGGACTCACTTGATCAGGAGAGAGCATCTAGGGGAGTGGAGCTGAGGGAGTCTAAAAGCAGAGCTTCCTGAGGAGGGGAATGTACGGTGTAGCTGCTAGGACGGCAGCGGTAACTTCCAGTCACGTGTCACAGGCCCCCCGGGGGGGGAGCACCCGGCTTCTTGGGCCTTCCCGTTTCCTCTTGTGAATTCTCTTACCTCCCAGCAGCCTCTTCCCGCCTGGTGTACAGTCTCTGGCTAGCCAAAGTCCCACAGCCATGACCCATGAGGGCCGTTCTTCCTCTCCGGTCAGAACCCAGCACCTTCTAGAGCATGGGGCTGGGCAGCAGGAGTGACAGCCAGGGGCCTGGGCAGTCCAGTGACCCCTGTGGGAAGGAGCCGAAGCTGCCTCCCGGGAGTGTACTGAGTAGCTAATGAGAGGACGCTGGACGCCGTGCAGTCTGTGGTTGGGGGCCGTCTGTTAGTTTAGGGGTCAGCAGCACTAGGAGGCGGTTAACATGCTCAGAACAATAAAACACTTTCCCACCTGGTCGTCTCACCACAGCTCTGAAATCAGTAAGCTCTGAAAGCCATAGGTTAGTTCCCAAGTTTGGCACAAACTCATTTGGCAACAAAACCTGACCTGGTTTGTCGAGAGCTGCCGCCAGGCTCTGTCCCATTGGTTGTGACTGCGCACGTTGGCTGCAGTGTCACTGCAGTCCTCGGGGTGCTGCCTGGCCCCTGGGGCTGGGACTTGAATATAGGGTTCACCCATCGCCATGAGTTTTCAAATTCCAAAGACAGTTTGAATTCCAAAGCATACTGGTGCAAGTTTTAAATATACTTCAGATAATATATTGTCACCAAGGTTTTAACTTCTCTGAGGGTTATCTTAAGTGAATCTATTGAAACTAAGGACTCTAAAAATGGAGGGATGGGAAGAGGCGGCTTTCCAGCTCCTGAGCCTTCTCCAGCAGCCTCCCGCCATGCAGGCCTACCCCCCAGCCCAGGGCAGCAGAGCAGGCAAGCCCCGTGGTTCTGTGCTGCTTAGGTCTGCTGACCCCACGCCCCCCAGAGTGCTGATGAGACACACCAAGCTAGAGACCTCCCAGCCCATCACACATCCCAGGGCAGAGCCTCCAGGCCAGCACTGCAGCCTTCATAGAATCCCATAAGCCCTGCTTGCTTTCTTATCTTTAAAATATCTTGGGCTTGTTTCTTCCTCAGTCCCAGGGGCCTCTAACTTAATGCACATAGAGCTTCCGTCACACGGCGAGTGAGCGTGGGAGCCACCAGGTGTCAGCCGCTTAGAGGCAAAGGCTGCCTGCTGCTTTTGTCACTAATACACATGACTCTTCCCCACAGGAAGCTCCCTGTGGTTGTGCCAGGGCAGCAAGGACCTGTACAGCATCAGCACCCAGCACACACAGCCCCGCCCGTCCACGGTGCAGCTGCCTCCCGACACCGAGTTGAGGGCCTACGCCGCCTGCCAGGATGCTCTGTGGGCGCTGGACAGCCTGGGCCAGGTGTTCATCAGGACGCTGTCCGCGAGCTGCCCCACCGGCATGCACTGGACGCGGCTGGACCTTTCCCAGCTAGGTATGCCGCCCCCGCGTGATGGCTGACAAAGGTTCCCGGGCCCTCGTTCAGCTTGCTTGTCAGTTGCTGATTGCAGGAGGTTGATCAGCCACTCTTACAGATTAAAGGGGCTTCTTAATTTTGTAGCAGCTTTACTTCCCACTTTGGTTTTTGGGGTTTTCAGAACCTGGAAGAACACAGACTCGGAGGCAGTTGCCCACAAAGAACCACTTCAAGTAATCCCGTTGGTGCCACTGCCTCTGCCAGTCTGTCTGAACATGGCATGCTGCTCTGTTCCCGAAGAATGGGTGTGTCTTATGCCAGGATGAGTGACCCGTTTACCTGTCTCCTCCCAGCACAGAATGGCTGCTCAGCTGGCGTGGGTTGGTCCTCAGTCAGACTGGAGAGATGCTGTGCATCTCCCAGCTGCTCGTCTCCGAATCTTCCCCTGGGGTTTCAGAGCAGGCCAAGTGCTTGGTACTGATTATAAATAATTCATTTGTGTTCCAAGAAATAAGAGAATAGAACAAGCCCACATCAGGTTATTTGGGGAAATTCTTGACTGAACAGCAGCTTGGGTGTGGCTGTGTGAAGGTGGAGAGTGTGCCGGGGCTCCAAAGGGTCCACACGGTCTCCCAGGCTGGTAAACTGACAGCCAGCATTGTTTGTACAAGCATTCAGTGTATGAGAATTCAGCCACACGTTCTCACACACACAAAACAGGAGGGGGAGAGAAAGCAGGGGGGAGCGCAGCAGATGCCCTGTCTGCCTCCCTCCCAGCAGCTCCAGCTGCATCTCCAGCTTCCGGGGCTGTTCACCACCCATAAAGTTGGTCTTGGCTCACGTGGCTCCTACAGGCAGAGATGCCTTCGTTCTGTCGTCAGCAAGGCCCCCAAACATACAGCTTAGCTGAAGAAGAGTGCTGGTTCTCAGCTGGAGAAGTGCACTCTCTCCAGAGCGAGGCAGTGTCCATGGTCATTTTGACTACTTATGCTTTGGCCTCCACACTGTCTTTTGAACCTAACCCAGCACCAGCACTGCTCACTTTCCCGCTTTTAAGAGCGTTTGCCAGCTGTTGTTACTGACAGTGACTGACCAGACAAGGCTGAGGCTGGTCATGGCCCTCCTGCCTGCCCCAGGTGCCTTTTGTGTTTTCAGAGAGCCCACCGGCCTGAGCCTGTCTCCACAGCCCCAGCCAGACCAGTGTGGGAGATGCCACAGGTTCCTTGTGGAGGTACAAAGGCCAGGCTTGGTTTGTATCCCCCCACTACTGAGAGCTTGGGCACAGATTGAGTGGGTGTTGTGCCCGGCTCCACCCACTGGAATTAGCTCTGCTTCCAGGCTCCAGCCACAGCCCTGCCTCCCTTCATGCTCAGCCCGGGCCTGCTGGCACCGGCTGGCAGGCTGGAGCAGGGTTGGTCTCTGAGGTGCCCTTGCCCTTCCCTGGGGTGGGGGCCATTCTTTCTGGGGAGAAACGGTTTTGGTGAGATGGTGTCTCCATTTGAGAGTGGGGGGACCCCAGGGCAACGCCATCCTGAGTCAGGATGTGCTCGGCCGTCTGAAAGCACAGGCAGGAGCTGCTTGCTGCGGACACGGTACTGGAGAAAGGAGCTGATCCACCCTGCCTCTGCCCGCAGATTCATCATAAGCAAACCAGTGTTAGGATCCAGCCAAGCCTGGAATGGGTCACACAGACAGCAGGTGGCAGGTGGCCAGGCCGAGGAGTGGGACTCATAGCAGAGGCAGTGCTGGCTGTGCCTAGAGCTAGGCCCTGGCAAGCTGCTGGCTTCCCATTAAACCCAGTTCCTCACCTTTCTACGGGGAGCAGCAGTGCCCACCCTGAGAGATGGTGCAATAGGCATCCTGTGTAAACGTGAGCTGTCGCGGGCAGGTGTGACGCCCTCATGGGGTCACTTGCAGCCAATATTAGCTACACAGGGACTCAGGCTGGTGAGGGTGCCCACTGGGTTTGATGGTGTGTGTAACAGAGGCAGTTACGGGGAGCACTGCCCATCTTTGTCTTCATCCTGCTGAGCTCTAGGTTCTACCGATTTACCTGGGTGACTGGCTGATACTGAAATGATGAATAAAGACTCCTTTCCCCATCTTCTGAACTTGGGGGGAATGCAACAAGTCCAGAGTTGTAGGTTGTGTGTCAGGGCCGGGAGGTGGACAGGTGGGGTGGGAGGGGTGTTGGCCTTTCCCTGTGCCTGGGTGGGGGCAGGGCAAGGCAGGCCGGGTGACCAGGTGTTCTGTTACTGGATTCCAGGTAGGGTCTGTGCAGCCTGTGGGACAAACAGGTGAGTCAGGGTTTTTAAATTAGGGGGTATGGCTGTGAGTTGAGGTGTGTGCCCCCTGCCCAGAACCCTACTGTGCATGCCACGGCAGGCTGTGCTCACAGCCCACTGGCCAGGTGGGGCCCCACTTAACTCTTGGGCTGGGCGCCTGGAGTGTGTGGGAGGGCAGGAGTGTCTGCCACCTGTCTCGATAGTCTCCCTTATGGACCCACAGGCAGCCTGAGGTAGGAAACTGCAGGGGAGCCCTCAGGGGATGTTTTCTTCCTTGCTCTGCTCTCCAATCCAGAGTAAGCTGGTCTGTACACTGAGTTTATATTCCAGCACTTTGTAAACTTTGTTGTAAAAGAATGTCTCTTGGTGATGCGCACTCCGTCTTCTGCAGTGTTGCCCCCACCGTCAGAGGCTGCCGATGTGCTGTTTCCACATGATTCCCCCGAGCAGCCACCGCCTGCAGCCCTATGAGGGCGGCTGAGATTCTAGCATAACAGTACCTTTCAGTTAGCATCTGTTTCTCAGCTATTTCTGGGATTTACTGCTGAAGCTACTTTATTGTGGTTGGTATAAATCTTTTAATATGTAATTTAGAGCCCCATGGAGTCTGTCTGAACTCCTGGTAAGACTTTCTATAAAAGGTGAAGGGAGGGAAGAGCACAGGTAGTTTCACTGTAAGAGAATCAGCGTCTTCAAGAAACGCACAAAGGAACACAGAGAACTTTCCATGCAGCGGGAGCTGACGCTTTTAGTTTGTTTCATGCTGAAGGCACATGACGGGATTGCCACAGCAGGATCTGTGCTGTGGGTGTGGACACACGGGCCACCATCCAATGCCAGTGACAGCTGTGGGGTGGCCAAGAGCAGGCCACCAGCAAGTGCCAGCACCACCTTTTCCCCAGTTTCAAAATCCAGATGACACAACCTCCCTTAGTCATCAGAAGACAAGCCACTCAGCCTGAAAATGGGCAAAGGGCCTGAATGGACTTCTCAAGGGAAAATACACAAGTGCCCCGTCAGCACCTTCGGAGAGTGTCAACACCTTGGTTATCAGGAATGCACGTTAAAGCCGAGGGAGGGTGCTGTTCACACCCACCAGACTGGCTGGTGAGAGGCATCACCGAGGCTGGTCGGCATGTGGTCACCTGGGGACACAGGCAGGTTCTCTAAAAGAGGAACATCTGCCCTGTGGCCCAGCAGCTCCACTCCTGGGCGTTATTCAAAACAAACAGCACATATTCCCAAAAGTCTTCCACAAGAATGACCAGAGCAGCTTTACTCCTAGGAGCAAAAAGCGGAGGTGACCCCAATGCTTGTCAATGGGGGAACAGATGGGCTAACAAGGTGTTCAGTGCAGGGGATCATCCTCAGCCATGAAAGGAGCCACATCCTGAGTGCAACCTGGGACTGCTTTTGTGGGTGTCTAGCCCAGACAAGACTCACTTGTGGTGGTAGAGATCCAAGGAGCAGCTAGCTGCCTAGGGCAGAAGTCCAAGGAGAGGGGCCCGAGGGAACTTTGCAGGTGGTGCAGTGGTCCATAACTTGACAGGACGCGGTGACCCAGGTGTGTCCATTTGTCAAAGCTGACAACTGAACTGTGAGGCCCATGCTCCCTGGATGTGGCATCCCAGGGGCGGAGGTAGCTGGTATGGAGTCTGGCCAGGCTTCAGCCCTCAGTTACCCGTCGGCCTCCTGGCTTGGCCACATCCCCG